CCAAAAGTGGCACGGTGGCTCAAGTGGTAGAGCACTAGCCTTGAGCTGAAGAGCTGAGGGACAGCACCCAGGCCCAGAGTTCAAGCCCCACAACCAAACACACACACACACACACACACACACACACATTCATGATAGACACTGGTAGCTCATACTTATAATTCTAGCCACTTAGGAGGGTAGGATCTGAGGATAGAAATTCAAAGACAGCCAGAGCAGATACATCCAACAGACTTATTTCAAATTAATTGGCAAAAGGCTGAAAGTAGAGATATGGCTCAAGTGGTAGAGCTCTGCCTTGAGCAAAAAGGCAGGGAAGAGTTTGAGACACTAGTTCAAGCCCCATTGCTATCACATACACATTCTGAGAGACAGAGACAGAGACAGAGAGAGAAAGAATACTGAATTTTATAACTACTTTGGCAAAAAGATGAACAGAATCCAGGATGGGATCATTTATTATTATTATTGTTGTTGACTTCCAATATTAAAAAAACAATTAAGATAAAAACATATTTTATGGACTCCTGAAAGTATTGTGGGCATTCAATACTGCACCTGCCATGCGTCGGGGATAACTCAGGGCTGCACTGAACTCTTGTTTTACACCTCTTCCCTTTTCTAACTTGACTGTATAAACATAAAAATAGCAGACTTAGGTACCCTGAGTGCTTGGACTTTGATCTTCCCTGTGTGTTGCTAAGAATGCTAGGCACCTACCACTGCATCCAGGTATTTATTGAGGTGGAGTCTCAAGAACTTTTATGCCTCTCTGGCTTTGAAATTCAGTCCCAATTTCTGCCTCCTAAGTATCAAGGATTACAGACTTGTGCTACTGCACTGGATCCTGTTCTACTTCTCATGATATCGCCTTGTCCTGCACAGTGGCAAGATAAGCTGAATCAAGAAGCCAGTAAATGATGAGGAACTACAGCCTTCTTCTTCATTTTTGTCTAACAGATAGGAAGTCATTTAAAAAAAAAAAAAAAACAACTTTGTCAGGAAAGAGACCAAGCTTTCTTTCCCAAATCCTCAGCCAAAGTGTCCTTATATAGTCCAATCAGATGTCACAGGATTGTTCATTGGCTTAACTAATTGAGGCAGTGGCGTGGGGCAGGGAAGCACTCCTCTTCCAGTTTCTCTGAAGAGAGCAGTGGAGAGTGGGTGTGGAGGCATACACCTGTAATTCCACCTACTTTGGAGGAAAATACTGAGAAGGTCAAGGTTTGAGGGCAGCTCAGGCTAAAAGGAAGACACCACCACAAAAAATAAGCTGGGCTTGATGGTTCATGTCTTTAGTCCCAGACACATGATTGGTGTAGGTAAGTAGGATTGTGGTCTGAGACTGGCTCCGCAAAAACTTGGTGCCCAACATAACTAAAGTTAAAAAGGGCTGGGAAATGGCTGACCCTGACCCTAGCTCAGGAGCCTAAGTTCAAACTCCCATGCCAAAAAAAAAGTAACTTCAATGGATTTTGTGACATATAGTAGCCAATAAATTTTATAAAATACATATATGTGTGGGCATGTGTACACATAAATAAACATATATGTAAGTATGTATATAGGTACCAGTGGCTCATGTCTGCAATCCTATCCACGCAGAAGGCTGAGATGCAGAGATCTCAGTTCAAGCCAAAATGTGCAGAAAAGTCTGCAACACTACATCTCCAAAACAACCAGCCCCCCACTACCCCCCCAAAAAAAATCAGGGTAGAGTGTCAGCCAAGCAAGCAAGCTGAATGACAGTGTGAGGTTTTGAGTCCAAACTACAGTCCCAGCAAATAAGTAAGGAAAAAAGGAAATAAATAAATATAGGTGTGAGTAGATCCCCTCACCCTTGGAAAAAAAAAGTCTGAAAGAAAACAATTCAAAGATGATCATGTTGGTTGTCTTTTATTCTTTTTCTCTGCATTTTCTAGAACAAGTCAGTTTTAGCTAAACCTTGTTTACACAACAATGAATTGCTCTACCTCAGCCCCTACCTAGCCTAGCAATGGCCCCAGAGTCCCTGGAGCCAGAGGCCCCACAAACCTGTGGTTTTTCTGCTGACAGAGCCCCAAACCCCAGTGCCCTGGGGGCCCTTGCTAATCCACTGGACAGATGCCACCAAACCACTCTCGTTGCATTAGTCTTGACACTGTGGCCTGTTGGGGCCACAGCTCAGGCTGCTGAGGGTTGACCAGCCTGCCACTGGAACCAGAGATGGAGACAGTAGCCACAATAGTAAGTAACAGGAACATTATGTCTTCAGCAGCAGGAGAGGCCTAAGGCCTCCCAGGATAGAGCTCTGCTCGTAATCCATGCCCCTTATTATAGGCACATGTCATCTAGGTCAGCAGCCTTCCTCTGGGGAGGCCCAGGACTGGGGGTTAGTTTGTGAAGAGGTCAGGCTTAGATAGGACCAGGGTCATTACCAGCAGGTTTAAACTAGTCATGGTGAAACACACCAATATTGCCAGTTGTAAGGAGGCTAAGGCCAGAGGATCACAAGTTTGAGGCCAGCCTGGGATAGAGTGATAGTTTGCCTGAAAACTAACAAACATAAAAACAAATTAAAAAAAAAAAACAAAACAAAACAAAAAAATCTAAAGCCAGGTGCAAGTGACTCACACCTGTAGTCTTAGCTACTCAGAAGGCTAAAAGCCAAGGATCATAGCTCTAAGCCCAGCCCAGGAAGGAAAGGCCATGAGACTCTTATCTCCAATTAACTACCAAAAAGCCAGAAGTGGTTCAAGTGGTAGAGTGCCAGCCTTGAGCGAAAAACCTAAGAGACAGCACCCAGGCCCTAAGTGCAAGCCCCAGGAATGGCACTAAAAACAACAAACAAATAAAAACACAAGGTCAGCTGATTTAGAACTAAGTTAATTAAAACTAGGCTCAGTTTATGATTGTGCTTAGTCTCCAGTCTGTGCCAGAATTAAGGTTCAGTTTATGACCAGGATCTTGGGTTGGTCAATGGCTAAGATCAAGGCTAAGTCTTTGACCAGATTCAGGGTACAGTCTGAGATCAAGGCTCAGTATATGACCAAAGTCACCAGAATTTACATGACCCAGGGTCAGATTCAGTCTTAGATTGGGATGAAGTCAATGATTAGCAGAGCTCAGGGCTCTGTTAGTGATCAAGATCAGGCTAATCAGGATTCAATCTAAAACAAAAGGTTATTCTGGATTGTGGTTAGAGATCAATGTATGATCTAGGCTCAGTCTTAGGTTAGGATCAGTGCTCAGTCTAAGTCCAGAGTCGAGATCTCAAATTGAAATGGGCCTTTTTTTTTTTTTTAAATCAGGCTTAGATCTGGGCTCAGTATGTTATTGGAGTCACAGCTCAATTCTCAGGTCATAGACCTCAATCTGGAGCTGGAATAGAGGCTTAGTCTGGTCATGAGATCAAGGCTCAGTCAACACCAAGATTAGTGTTCCAATTAGCTGTGGGATCAGGGCCATGACCAGGGCTTGTTCTGGCTCTATGTTCTCTTCTGAGTTCCAAGAAAGAAGTTTCTGGAAACATGGGAGCCTTGAGAAGGCAATACGAGTCCCCTACCACCTTCCCCCAGGCAAACTGAGCAAGAGTCTGGTCCCTGCAGGAAGTTTCCCCTTGCTTGCTGAGGCTGGGTGTCCTACAGTCTTCTAACCTACATGGCTCTACTGCTTGAGATCCCCTGCACTAGAATAAAAATAGCCACTCACTTCAGAGCAGCTGACAGCGGGTGCTGGGCTGCCTGGGAGGAGGGGGAGCCAGAGAGGGAGGAGGGAGGCCTGTGCTCAGCCCCAGCTGTGTGACCTTGGGAAAGTCACCCCTCCTCCTCCAGCCCATTTCCTGAGTGGCAGCCTTGGGAGGTGCAGATGACACCTGCCCCAGAGGGTGGGAACGAGCCAAGCTGGTCACTGACAGCATATGGCACTTGTTACCAATAGGGAAACGGTGTGAAGTCTCAGGGAGAAGAATTGCTCTTTTGTGCCCAATTCCCTTCATCCTGCCACTTTCCCACAACCCTCTCCAGCTTCCCTAGGCTTTTTCCACAGTGACCCCAGCATGACTTTCATGGTGGGTCAGGTGAGCCCCCTGGAAGGAATAAAGGAGAGGAAGGAAGGGAAAGGATTGTTCTCAATTCTGGGCTCCTAGTAGATCTAGTCTGAGCCAAAAGGCTAAGAGGGCATAAGTCCAGCATTTGCATTCTTTCCATGCCTGCCCGGCCCCCACCCAGACCTTTGCACCTGCCATTCTCCCTGCTTCCCCAGGCATTTCTTCTCTTCCATTTGGCATCCTAGACTCTAGACAGGAATCCATATTCATCTGTAGGGGAGACTTGTCTACTGTCTCCCCACAAACACCAGCCACTACTGGGCTATCCTTACTTCTCCGATCCAGTGGGAGACTATGGCCAATCTCACCGTGATGGTCTGTCACCCACCGGTGTCTCCCTTCCCCTAGCTTCTCTGAACCAAACAGCGAGCCCCAAGAGTTTCAGGAAGGGGTTTCACGAGCGGTAAGGCTGTGTCTTGGTATACTGCCTCGCCCTGCAGTGGGAGGGGAGGGAGGCAGCCAGAAGGGGCTCTCCACCCCCAAGAGACAGCCGTCTCCAAGGGGGCGGTTCTCCCTGGCAGCTGCCCCCGGCCTGCCGCCCTGAGCCCCAGAGTCTGTTATCAACCCTCTTAGTCATCAAATCAGGAACACAAATATAGCTCCTACCAGGGCTCAACTCTCTGCAGGGGTCCACCCCCCACCACCCCTTCTTTCTCCTTCTTCCAGGAACCCAATGGTTTACTCCAGGCCTCAGTTTCAGAATCCACCAAATGGATGAGCTGGAGTAGATGATGGTGATGATGGTGATGATGGTAATGAAGATGGTGGTGATGGAGCAGCAGTGTTTACCTGACCTTGCTTGTTCTGAGCTCTAAGCTAAACATGTCCTATGTATTCCCTTGCTTCGTCTTAACCACAAACTTAGGAGGTACCTACTGTTTTCTTTTGTTTTGTTTGTTTTGTTTGTGAGGGTTTTTTTTGGGGGGGGTCATAAACTCTGGGCCTGAGTGCTGTCCCTCAGCTCTTTAGCTCAAAGCTAGCTAGCTCTCTACCACTTGAGCCATAGCACCACTTCCGGTTTTCTGATGGTTTATTCAAGATAAGGGTCTCAGGGACTTTCCTGCCTGGTCTGGCTTTGAACCTCAGATCTCAGCCTCCTGAGTAGCTAGGATTAAAGGCATGAGCCACCAAAGCCCAGTGTATCTACTCTTTTTAATGTTTTATGCAAATCAGGACCTCAATCAGGTAAGTCAGTGGCCAGGCCAGAAACAAAGTCCCTGACGGCCATTCTGATCTCCAAAGAGGGGGATGATGGGAAATTCTGTGTTCTTTTTTTTTTTTTCTCTCCTCCCTGGGGCAGAGGAGTCCTCTGCAGCATCATGTGCATGGCATTCGCCTGTCTTCCAAAGGGTGCTAGTGTCGCTGTCCTAGCCTTAGCATGGTCCCTGGGGCCTGGATCTGCCTCCCATGTACTCCAGAACTGACACAGAAGTTAGCACTCTCTGTGGGGGGGGGTAGTGGGGGAGACAGTTGTATTTTGCTCATTTGTTTTTGTTTTTAATTTGCACCTTTTGTAAAATGGGAGTACAAGGACTGGGCAAGGGTAATTTATCTTTCTTACTTCTATGGAGACCTGAATGTGGCCACTGCATCCACTCTCCCCTTCAACTCCATCCTCTAGTGTGTCCACTAACATAACCCTCTGCCCAGCTCTCTTTCCTGTTCTCTTCTCCATCTAACCACCAGCCTCCTTATCACTATCAGCTGATCACCTGATCACCCTCCATCTTCACAGTCATCAGTCATCAGATCCACTGTCAGTCACCATCTCTGCCATCACTGTCCACAAATGTGTCTACCCCAGCTCCCTGACATGGCCTGTGTCTTTACCATACTGCAAGCTCCAGCCTCACAAAGACCTTCACGTGGCTTCACGTGGTGACCCTGAGTACAGACAGTCCAGCCAAGATGGGAAGCCCACCCAGGAGACAAGCATGAGGCATCTGTCTATGTGGTTTTCATAGAGGACTAGAGGCCCATGACTGCTGACCAATAGGGAGTGCAGGGCACCAAACACAGAACTCACAGCATTTTTTTTTTGGTTGGTCGTGGGACTTGAACTCTGGGCTTGGGCGCTGTCCCTGCACTCTTCAGCTCAAGGTGAGCGCTCTACCGCTTGAGCCACAGCGCCACATCTGGTTTTCTAGTGGTTAATTGGAGATAAGAGTCTCACGGACTTTTCTGCCCAGGCTGGCTTTGAACCGTGATCCTCAGATCTCAACCTCCTCAGTAGATAGGATTATAGGTGTGAGCCATTGATGCCCAGCAGTCACTTTTTTTTTTTTTGCCAGTCCTGGAGGCTGGCCCTGAACCTGAGTCCCTCTGTGCTCAAGGCTAGCGCTCTACCACTGAGCCACAGCACCACTTCCTGCTTTTCCTGTTTATGTGGTACTGAGGAATTGAACCCAGGGCTTCATAGATGCTAGGCAGGCACTCTACCACTGAGCCACATCCCCAGTCCTCACAACACTTTTTATGTGAACTGAGTGAGATTGGTCCTCTCTAAGGAATCTACCATTTGTGTGTGTGTGTGTGTGCGCGCACGCATGCACACACATGTGCACCAGTACTGGAGCTTGAATTCAGGGCCTGGGTGCTGTCCCTTGGTTTTTTCACTCAAGGATGATGCTCTACCGCTTAAGCCACCTTTCCATTTACAGATATTTGGTGATTTATTTTTGGTGATTTATTGAAAATAAGAGTCTCTTGGACTTTTTTCTGGGCTGGCTTTGAACCATAATCCTCAGATCTTAGCCTCCTTAGTTACTAGGACTGTTAGGCATGAGCAATTAGCATCAGGTGAATTAATTTTGATTTTAGATAGGAAAAGATAAAGGGCTGGGGGTTTAGTCCAGCGGAAGGGCGCCTGCCCGGTGCACGCAAGGCCCTGGGTTCTGTCCTCAGCCTTGGAGAAAAAGAAAGAAAGAAAGAAAGCCCATATCCATTTGGCCAAATTTGCCTTCATAACTCATTCACTCTTCTATTTCATTCATTCATTCAACAGACATTTCTCTAGGTCTGTTGGGGACCATGTTGTCTTCTAGGTCTTGCCCTTTCGAGCTCCAAGGCCTGGTATTTGTGATTTTACTTCATTGCTGTTGTTTGTGCCAGTACTGGAACTTAGGACCCTGTGCTTTTGCTCAGCTTATTTGCATACTCAGCACTCACGATTGGGTGCTGTACCACTCAAGGCACACCTCCAGTCTGGCCTTTCGCTGGTTAATTGGAGATGGACTTTTCTGCCCAGGCTGGTCTGGAACCATGATCCTTAAATCAACATACATGAGCCACCAGCGCCTAGGTCTAGGTCTGTTTTGGACACCTCTGCCAAGTCTATTTCCCCAATGCTGGCCCTTTCTCCACCCCACTTTCCTTCCCTCACTCTTGGCTCAGGCTAGACTTGGATTGGAAAGTTATTTTTCTCCCTGAATCTTAAGAGATGGTCACTGAGTAAGTACCTTCCAGAGCCATACATACCTAGTGAGTGCTGGGCTGAGGAGAGCTGAGCGGAGGGGGGCAGGGCACCTCATGTGGAGGTATTTGAATGCAGTGAGGGCTGTCTGCCGAAGAGGAGAGCTGGGGCTGAGATGGGAGAGGATTCCAATGGCTGGAGCCTGGCTGTCTGGTTCTAAAGTGGGAAGAATAGAACCAGACGGGAGGGGGGCATGGAAGGAGGGGGGGCTAGAGGTGGCACTGAGGCTGGAAAGTGGGGCAAGGGTACCCCCCCACACACCCCGCAGCAAGGCCTGGAGTCAGAAAGACTATGGGATGGGGCAGGGCCTCGGGTGTCTCTGAGGCCTTGGTGCTGTACTCTGAACTACTTGTCTCTGCCCTACCTGTAGGTGTGTCCAGTACCCCTCCCTGGAGCCTGCAGCCTACTGGCTGGAGGATGGGGGGGGGGAGGGTGTAGAGAGCCTCCTCCCACCCCCAAGCCTCCATTTGGGACTATGCCAAGGCTGATGGGCACTCCCTGTTCCGCATGGCCATTCCGGCCTCAGCAGCCAGCTTGAAAGACTCCCCAGGGAGGAGCCCACCTTGCCCTGGCCACCTCCACGCTGGCAAGTGGGCGCCTGTGCCTTTAAATTCTCAGCAGGTTGAAACGGGCTGATGACATCACTGGTTCCTGGGAGCTGAGGAGCTGGAGCCTGAGCCCAAGGGAGCCGGGCTGCCTGCCGGGGGCTGCAGACATGGAGGGCCGGAGCAGTGGGGACAGCCGGAGGCTAGGGACCCCGGGGAGCTTGGGCCCCTTACCTGTGCTCCATGGGGCTTCTCAAACTGGTACACCCTCCAAGGTAAGAGACACCCCCCTCCCAAATCTAATCCTCCAATCCCTGATCATTGGGCTCACACCCCCACACACACACTGCAGGCACCCTGGTGCCCCTGCCTAAGGGATTGGCACTCCTCTGTGCCCGCCAAGCAGGAGCTAGACAAAGAAATCGCCCTGGGGGGTGGAGGGCACTGAGCCAGCCATCTCCAGGAAAGCACACAAGAGCTTTGGATGGAGGGTTCGGAGACTCAGTCATTCTCCAGCTTTGCTGTGTGACCTTGGGCAAATTGCTCATCCTCTCTGAGCCAATGCAGACACAAAGGGGTGGGGGGGGGTCTTGTTTCTGAAGACTGGAACTATGTGATGTCTGCGATGTGTTAGGTTGTGAGTGCTGGAGGCGGTGTGGTGGCTGGCGAGGGGGTGGGCAGGCATAAAGTGGGACACTTGCATCCAAGAAGGACGCCCCAAATGCGGACTCTGTAAGAGTTGAGTTTGAGAAGGGAGGTATGTGGAGGCAGAGTTCCAGGTTCTCTGAAGCGAGAAGGACACGGGACAGACAGAATTGCGTCTCTGGAGGCAGAGATGAGGCCACTGGAGGGTGAATTTAGACCTTCTTCTTTCCTCTCTGGCAAAGGATGCTTTATCCAAGGACCTCCAAAAGACAGGATGGATGTGCTCTGGAGCACCCTGCTGCTACCCCCTTGCCAGACACAAGGGCGAAACCTCGCTTGTTGTCCTTCCAGACTGGGGAGAGGGTGGAGGGGTTACAAGGGCACAGCCTGGGTATGGAGGAGATGTACCAGGATCAACCATCCTTGCTACAATAGACTCATTCTTCTGTGCTCCATGGAACTCTTAGAAATACTGGGCTCGTACATGTAGAGGTGATGACACTAAGGACCCTTTGCCCAGATTGTTCATTTTACCAAGAGGGAAACTGAGGCCCAGGACAGAGAAGTGTTGCTTGAAGTCACATGGAACGGGCCAGCTCAGTTCCCAGTTCTTGTCTGTGCTTGGAGCTTTGGGAATGGCGGAGGACAGGCAGGGGACAGGAGTTGGGGGATCTGGTGCCCTATTGGAGTGTGTTGGGGGGGGGAACGGAACCTGAGTATATTTGGGCACTGTGGAGGAGGGGAGAGAGATTTAACAAACTGAGTTCTGTGTCCCCCTTGGGTGTGAGGTCAGTAGCCTTTGCTCCAAGTGCTGGAGAAACTGGAGTAAGAGACCTGCCCAGAGAGGCTGCCCATTGTAGGCAGAAAAATCAGGAAAGATTTGATCTCATATGCTGCCTTTAAAAAAAAAAATCATTTTCTGTATCTGTGAAAGAGGTTTTCAAGTGTGAGGGGCCAGGATGTTGCGTCTTTTCTCTTCCCAAAGAGAAACTGACCTGCAGCAGAATGGATTGGCGTGAGCTAGTAGGAAGGACTTCCTTGGTCAAGATGTGCCTTGTTGGTTGGTTTGGTTCAGTTAGATAGGGTGTACTAGTGGAAGCTGAGGTTCCCCCCTCTAGTTAGGGACACTCTGAGTCATTCATTGACTTGTCCTTTCCAAGGTGGACTCAAGTTTTCAGCACCCAGCAAAGAACACAGCCCCGGTACCCTCAGAACCCAGGCTGGCTCTGGCACCTGTGGGACCTCGAGCAGCTACATCACCTTCCTCAGAGGGGCCAAGGCTGGCTCTGGCATCTCCCCGGCCCATCCTGGCTGCACTGTCTACCCCTGGGGGACAGAAAAGAGCCCCTGCCCCCCACAGCTCCAGTCCGGCCCCTACATCTGTGAGCCAATTGGTGGTATCAGCCTCAGCGGTCCCCAAGCCTCCCCCAGCCACCTCAGCTTCAGTCTTAGCCCCCACATCGCTGGGGCAGCTTGTAATCTCGGCCTCCGCAATGCCAAGGCAGCCACCAAGCCCTCTGGGACCCAGTCAAGCTCCAACCTCCAAGGACCAGAAGCCATTGTCACCCACCTCCATGGGACCTAAACCAGCACTGGCAGCCTCGGGCCTAAGCCTGGCCCTGGCTTCTCAGGAGCATCCTCTTCCATCCCCCTCCAGCCCTTCCCCGGTGCCTAGTCCAATTCTGTCTCCTTGTCAGGAGCAGTCTCTGACTCCAGCATCTGCAATTTCAGCCCCAGTTTCTATGGGATGGACACCAGCCAAACAGAGGGATGTCCCAGCCCCTAGACCTCTTCCCCCTTCTGAGGGTCGTCTCCAGCCTCCAGCTCAGGCATCTGCTCCTACCAGCTCCCCAGCCTTAATCCAAACCTCCCCAGACCCCCGGGTTTCTCCTTCCTTCCGAGCCCGGCCTGAAGCCTCCCGCAATAGCCCTGAAGATCCTGTCCTGCCACGCCCACCCCACACCCTACCCTTGGAGGTGGGTACCAGCCTTCCAGAGTCTGGCACTCGCTCCCCTGGACTGTTGTCACCTACCTTCCGGCCAGGAACCTCCTCAGGCCAGACTGTGCCCCCACCTCTGCCCAAGCCACCCCGGTCTCCCAGCCGCTCCCCAAGCCGTTCCCCTAACCGTTCTACCTGTGTTCCCCCAACCCCTGAGGTGACTCTTCCCAGGTCTGGCACCCAGGGTGCGGGGCCTGACACCCAGAGACCAAAGTCTGGCACCCAGAGTCCAGGGTCTGGCACCCAGAGTCCAGGATCTGGCAGCCAGGGTTCAGGGCCTGGCACCCATACTGCAGGGGCTGGCAGGTGTCTGAGTCCTAAGCTTCAGACCCCAGAAGCCCCAGTCACCATCTCTCCTACATCCATCTCGGCACCCTCCTCTTGGTCAGCTCAACCTACCTGCAAGAGCGACCCCGGATTCCGGTGAGGGGTTCTTTCTCAAGAACAGTCATTGGGGCTTGTGCTTGCAACACTAGCCAGTCTTTACAGGGTGATGATGTATTCTCCTGGTTTCCTTTTCATGATTTCTCCTTGGGAGGGCTGTGGGCCCCAGTGGGACTTTTAAAAAGACAGCATCTCTTTCTAAGGGATGGCTCCTTCTTGTGTTTGTTTCTCCAGGGAGAGTCTAGGAGGAGGAGGGGTGCGGGGCCCACTGTGGGCAACAGACCCCAGCAGTGAACCTTCCTGTGCCTCTACCTCCCCAGGATCACTGTGGTTACTTGGAATGTGGGGACCGCCATGCCCCCTGATGATGTCACCTCTCTCCTCCACCTGGGTGGCGGCGATAACAGTGATGGTGCAGATATGATCGCCATAGGGTGAGGGGCAGGGGTGTGTGGGGGGATCCTTTCCTGAGACCCTGGGGCTTCCTAGACCCTCACCTAGTGGCAGGGGCTTCTAAATTGCCCCTCCAACCCTATGGCCACCTCTCCCTCATGTCCTCAGGTTGCAGGAAGTCAATTCCATGATCAACAAGCGCCTCAAGGATGCTCTCTTCACTGACCAGTGGAGTGAGCTCTTCATGGACGCTTTAGGGCCCTTCAACTTCGTGCTGGTAATGCATCCACTCCTCCCTCCCTCCTCCCCCAAAAAACCTCCACCCTTTGGATAAGCAGGGAACCCCTGTGGAAATCCTGCCCCGCTTCTGCCTTGATTCATCAGAATTTGACCAGCAGGAGGAAAAGCAGAGGTGGGAGGGGGCTGGGACACATCGTCCCCACACCTTGTCCCCTCCTCCTGCAGGTGAGTACAGTCCGGATGCAGGGTGTCATCCTTCTGCTGTTCGCCAAGTACTACCACCTGCCCTTCTTGCGGGACGTGCAGACAGATTGCACGCGCACTGGCCTGGGTGGCTACTGGGTGAGCATGGGAGCGGCCTCCAGAAGGGGTTTAGTGGGGAAAGAGGCCCAAGGATTGGCCATTGATTTGTCCCGCGATCACCAGGTACCTGCAAGGTCCCCTCCAGAACTCTGCACGCCTCGGCCCCTGCGGCCTGCCCTGCCCCTAACGCCACGCCCCTTCTCTAG